ACTGCAGAGTCTGGTCGGCAAGGAGGCAGAATTCCTCGCCCTCTGCTGCGCCTCGGCCCACAGGATGAGGAGTTGAACTAACTACTCTATAGGGGTTATATAGGGGCTATATTGGGGTTGTATTGGGATAATGGAAAAGAAAATGGAAACTACGATAATGGAGAATCAAATGGAAAAGAAAATGGAAAATCAAATGGAAACTGCTATATTATAGTATGGTATATATACGGGTTTTGTAGGGATAATGGAAAATCAAATGGAAACTGCTATATTACAATAGGGTATATTTAGGGGTTATATAGGGATAATGGAAAATCAAATGGAATTTGCTATAGTATAATAGGGTAGATATAGGGGTTATATAGGGATAGTGGAAAATCAAATGGAAACTGCTTTATTATAATAGGGTAGATATAGGGTATATAAAGGGATAATGGAAAATCAAATGGAAACTACTATATTATAATAGGGTAGATACAGGGGTTATATAGGGATAGTGGAAAATCAAATGGAAACTGCTATATCATAATAGGGTATATATAGGGGTTATATAAGGATAATGGAAAATAAAATGGAAACTACTATAATAGTGTCTGCTACGAGGACTCACTGCGGAGGGATGAAGTTCGCATGCAGTGCTAGAACACATGGTGTGTCCCGCTGTATTTTCGTCTAATATACCTCCGAATGTGAGTACTACTTCGGGAACCCTACACCCCAGGGGATTGGCTAAGGCTTACTTTCTGGAACTCCACGTTCCGTGAAGATGTCTGCTTCCAGGCTCCCTGTGTCCACGGCCAAAAAGATTCTGCATAGACCTACCCTTACTGATTCTTAGTGGGAATAGGGGAATATGATTCCTATATACTATTCCCTTATCCCCTACAAAGAACCAGTAAGTAACGTTCTTTACACTGAGGGCTCAGGGACCATGCGGTGACGAGATACCCCAGCCCAACTTAATGACTAGCATTGTGCAGCAAGATGTGCAAAGCGGCCTTGCAAACCCTAAACCCTAAACCCTGCTCCCAACAGCCTGAAGCAGCTACTTTGGGCAAAGCTGTGTTGGGCTGTGTTGGGTGCGTATGGTCTGGAAAAGAAAATGGAAACTACTTTAGTATTTTGGGGATACATAGTCATAATGGAAAAGAAAATGGAAACTACTTTAGTATATTGGTAATTTCTCGCTCTGGCATGACATCCTATCAGAACAAGAGTCGGGGAGATGACTGTTTTCAAGAAATGTCGGACATTTCAGGCACTGCCATTAGGCAAAGGCGCACCCATTCTTACTGACATTCCTAACTTCAGCCCTTCGAGTTGAGGAGCCGATTCCGTGAACCCTCAAAACAGGAATGTAAACTTGAGGAATTCTTTAGGAAGATCACACACTGTAATAGTGGTGTAGTAAGAACATAATAATAGGAGGAATTCTTAATAAGAACATAGTAGGAGGAATTCTTAAGATCAGGGTAGTCATTTGAGGCGCCAACTCGTCACCAACTTGCCCTCTGTGCAGTAGGCCTTAGACTCAAAAGCCGTGGGATCAAGAGCCTGTCAGAAACTCAAACCATTCTCGTTATCCAGCTCACAAGAGCCGTATCTGTATGTCCTTGAGATGCACGGATGATCTAAACTCCAAAGACAGAGATCTAAAATTTCATCTCGGATGGGGAATTACGTGGTAGTTTTGGGGACTCACACCGGCTCTCATTTTCATATTTCGTTGGCGTCTGAAGACTTGCGATGTCTGCGGTTTGATCGTTGTTGCAATCTTATTACAGTGCGATGCAGTGCTACCAAGTGGACACCCACCGTCATGAGGATCAAGCAGTTGCATTCACGTGGGCAAGAAACAAAAAAACATCACAGAACCGACATGAGCCCAATAGCGCACACAGCACAATTTCGTAGTAGCTAGGGCCCATGGCAATCCGAGCATGTTCTCTATGAGTTTGTACACGATGCAGGATTTCTATTTGTGGTATCCCACGGGCAATCAAACCTGCCGAAGGAAAACATTTGCACTGGCAACGCGTCTTCATTCAAATCATACAAGCCCTACTTCACGACAGCTCTGACAGGTCATCCGCAGACTGGGTGGCACCACCATGTAGCTTGATGTCTCCGTGCCCTCACATCAGCGGGACATGTTCTCAAGTCATTAAGCTTGCTTGGGGTCTGGGAGGATATGAATATTCCAATCTGGAGACCAGGAATTATAAGGGGATCATGTCTTAAATGAATCAGTGTGGCATCACGTTAGCATCTATTTGAAGATATTTCGAGTACTGACTGGCTGCACCAGAAGCCGGCTACCCCTTACTGTAACAGTCGTGTTGCAAGCTCTGTTCTCAGACAACCCTTTGCGGAGCAGCCTCGCTGTCCTTCTCGCAGATCTGCACGCAGCCGTCGCCACCCGCCCGAACCTTCCAGCTGGAAAACTCAGTCAAAAACAAGCCCTAGGGTCCAAGGACCCAAGTAATAGGTTTGGGCCCTAAAATCCCATTATTTGGGTCCTTGGACCCTTAGGGAAGAATAAACAGTCGTGAGCTCTGCCAGGCCGACGGCACTCAGTGCCCAAAAAAGCTTTTCAGATATGCTCAGTGAAGTTGAAGAAATTAAGGGTTTAGGGTTAAGGGTAAATTCACTACCCGCATCAACTACAATCATTTCATGGACACCGCGTCGTGCCACCGCACCCGTTGCTTCTGTAGCTGTGAGCAGAAACTCAAAGGCCGACAGCTTACTGGGATTTGGGGAGTAACCACCAATCATGAAGAATCCAACGGAAAGAAAATGGAACATGAAATCACAACTGGGATGATGCAGGGTTGACAGCTTCGCTACTTCTACTCCTGCTGCTGGTCGACACTGCCAGGGCTATGGCTGTCCTACCGTCGCTGACAGTCAGGCAGATGGAGGCATTGGTGGCATCAGCCTCCTCCTGGGAAAGCTACCAAACATGAAAGCATAGGAAAAAAACATCACGCTGAGAACAAGGATAACAATCGTGATGAACATGCACGTAGAACTACTGCAAGCTCAGCGGCAGTTGCAAGGGTGATTGGGGATCAATGAAGGTCTACCTCAATGCTGTCATAATCATTTCCAAGAGAACAAAGAAGCACAGAATAGCTGAATAGCAAACACACTGCCAGTCCATAGAAGCCTAGCCCAATACTATTACAATGTAGTAGTTTCCATTTTCTTTTCCAATTATCCCAACCCTAAACCCTAAACCCTATAGTAGTTTCCATGTTCTTTTCCATTATTTTCCTATATAACCCCAATATTAACCCATATATTCCCTAGTTTCCATGTCATTTTCCTGTTTCTTTTCCATTTGATTCTCCATTATAGTAATTTCCATTTGATTTTCCATTATAACCTTCGCATGATATCAATATATACCCTATATAACCCCTATATAATCCATTATAGTAGTTTCCATTTTCTTTTCCATTATCCCAATATAATCCCAATATAACCCTATATAACCTTCGCATGATATCTAGGAGCCTGGGAGGCTCTTCCTCCAACGGGCCCCTGTGAGGAAGCGAAAATGGAAACTACTATAGGGTTTAGGCTAGGGTTTAGGGTTGGGATAATGGAAAAGAAAATGGAAACTACTACATTATAATAGGGTATATGAAAAGTTTCTTGACAGGTTGAGGACAGGCTCTGGCGCAAGCTTGAGAGCTTAAGGTCAAAAAGTCCAAAATGGGGGTTTCTGAAAAGTACCCTGGGTCCCAGTAATTAGGATTAAAGTGTTTTGGGATCTGTAGTGGGGTCCCCTTTTTTTGGGAAACTATCAAATGCCGAGCATGCAAGTTCGAGACCGAATACTGCTGGGTTATGTGGTCCCATATGAGCTCTAGATAAACTCCTAGTATCCCCGTTAATAATGAAGGAGTTTAGACTACAGCTCATATGTGATGCCCCAAATGGACTGAAGGGTACCATGAACCAGGTCTCCGTCTACAAGTTTGGATCCCGATCCGGTGAAAAAATGCGTATGAAAAGGTTTGCTGCTGGCAGAGTCTTCACAGTCAAACATATGGTAGCTTCCCAAAATAGGAGGATCCCAGTATGGACCCTGATATACTATGATCCCCAATCTGGGGACCTCCGATAAAAATGTGCCCCGAGTTTGGGAAGCCCTGATGCGAAAAACAAATCCTTGTAAACCCCTATACATCCCTATATAGCCCTTCAACATACCTCCTACCACCCCTTTAAAGGTAACCCTAATTTTGGGAAACCCCCATATGAGCTATAGTGTAGACTCCTAGTATCCCCCTTAATAACCCTACCTAAACCCTATAAAATCCCCTTACCGCTCATATAGGCGTCTCACTTCCGATGCAGTCCTCTGGGGAGATTTGCCGGAAAGATCCACCAGACAGAACTTGTGGGATCACCTGCTGTTCAGTTTAGGGTTTAGGGGTTACTGGAGGTTAGTAGGGGATACATGGGAATATTATATATCGGGGGTATATAGGATCATATTTCCCTATCCCCTCCTAAGAACCAGTGAGCCAGCATAAGCATCCCAAGCATGTCGTTCAGTAGGCATGCTTAAAATGTAGCTTCCATCATCTTATCCACAGAACTCTTGTATAACCCCTGTCCGACGTGTAGCTGTTGCCTGTGGAGATTGCCCGACGGCAAGTGGAGGCCTTTTGCTTGCTCAGCACAGTCCCGCTTGGAGGGTCAGGGGACTTAGTAAGTATACTTGTAACCCCTATAACCCATATAGTAACCCTAATTATCCCTATTATTCGCCTACTCACTAAATCCACGTGACCCTGACCCAAAACCCTGCATCCCAAGCCCTACGTAAATACTATGGTGGTTTCCATTGCTTTTCCCTTACTAACCTACTTGCTAAGTCCCCCTAGACCCTAAACCCTAAACCCTTAGCCCTACACCCTAAACCCGTAGCCCTAAACCCCGAACCTTAAGTCCCCCTGACCCTCCAAGTAAAACCCAACCTCGATAGTGGTTCCATCTGCACACTCCACCTGCAGCTGGAGCCCACCTGCACCAGGGCATATGACCCCCCATACAGCTTGGGGGGTCATATGAGCTATGTGGTTTAGGGGGTTTAGGGATTAGGGATTTGGGGTTCAGGGATTGGGAATTAGGGTCTAAATTCCGTAAAGCGGGGTTATATAATATAGGGGACTCTATAGGAGACTAGTATGGGGGTTATTACAGGGGATACTGGGAGTTTAGACTGCGGGTCATACAAGGGTAGTTGAAAACGAACATGGATACTACAGTTGAGGATTTGGGAATACTACCCCAAATAGTGGAACATCAAGTCGAAAAAAGGGAGGATGAAATGGACACTGGATTATACTGGTATATAGGATCGGTTTCCAAAAGTTAGGGGTCCCACAAATGCAGGATGTGTCCCAAACCGCTTGACATGAGGACACCAAGTTTGTAGAAGTTCGCATCGGGTCGGTTCCCGCCTGAAGAGCCTTGCTTGGGAATCTCGCACCTGCTCAGGCCGCAGGTAGCTATAAGGTTTAGGGTTTAGGGTCAATTATGGGGGCCATGCAGCGGGATACTAGGAGTTTCGACCATGGGTCATGCAGGGGTAAGAGAAAAGAACATGGAAACTACATTTATGGTTTGGGGATACTACTCCAAGTTTCTGCTTGAAGCCAAGCATGCCACATGATGCCCCTCTGCTGATCACGCAGGACAAGAAGCACCGGTGCAAACTCTGACAGAAAGGAAGGACTATGCTTTCATAGGCAAGCCTCACTAGCGGCATGCCCTCCTTGAAAATTTCCAGCTCTGCGCCATACCTCAGCAGCATCAGAAACTGCATCAGCATGGCATCGTACAAATCAGCTCATGCGCAGTGATAGTTGGGCTCTCTATCTAGTCTTAGCCGCTCCGTGGACTGTTCTTATACTATGCATGCTTGCAAAACAGCAAGTTGAGCTTGCCAGCTCTTTTGCAGTCTTCGTGATGCGGCTGCCGTCCGGGTAGGCGCACACCTGTACGGGAAAGAAGACAAATGGCAAGCAAGTGCCGAAGAGGGAAAATCAACTTACAGATCAGGAAGCAAGCAGCAAAGCACCCTACACCCTTCTTTGCATGTGGCATTTCCTTGTGTAGAGGGTTTGGCCTTTGCCTCGTAGTAATTTCCATTTTCTTTTCCATTATTCCTATATAACACTGTATAACCCCTCTATAACCCATTTTAGTAGTTTCCATGTTCTTTTCAATTATCCCTATCCATGGGAAGGTAGACCTCAAACACCGGGACTCTCAGTACTGCATTTGACTTTCAACCGCCTCTAACCATGAGTTCAAAGCATAAGCCTCAAGCCCGAAACCCTAAACCCTAAACCTGTATATAAGAAGCTCTGGGGCTTCTGGGCACTTCTGGGCTTTATAGGGGTTATATAGGGATAATGGAAAAGAAAATGGAAACTACTATAGTGGGTTATATAGGGGTTATGTTGGGGTATAGGTTAAGCCCTAAACGACCTGAATAAACTCTTCAGCCTTAAGCAACAGAACACAGCACAGGCTCTTTTGAGTCTGGCTCGGCCATTGCTAAGTCGGATAAGTCATCTGCTGCAGGCTGAGGCCATGAGAACTGCACAGTACGATTCATATAGGAATAATGGAAAAGAAAATGGAAACTATTATACTGGGTTATATAGGGGGTATATAGGGGGTATATAGGGTCATATAGGGTCATAAAGGAATAATGGAAAATAAAATGGAAACTACTATAATGGGTCATATAAGGGTCCTAATACAGAGACCGTTCTTCTGCTTTGGAACTGTTACCCTGATCACTGCTATACTCGTACTTCAAATGCGACAACTGAACCAGAGCAACCAATGGGTTTCTCGAAGGAGGGAAGGATTGGAGGTAAGACAAGGAAGTTATGGGGTCCCCCTTTCAGGATTAAGAGGCTGCAGGGCTTCAAGGAACCAGCTTTGGCTATATGTGTTCGCGAATTGGGCTACAGAACACGTACAGATAAGGATTTCCTCCGTGCGAGGCTAGACGTCTTTGAGAGGGGTGGGCGTACGACATCCTAAATTTACAGACAGTATGCCGTAGACTTGTAAACCTTAGGCCCGCAATCCCTAAAGGCTTGTCCCTCCGTATTAGCGCATGCTGGGAAACTCCAATATCACGGTGTTCACAAGGCCTCACAAGCTGCGTTGGCCCCATGGGCCTTTGAAAACTTCTTAACATCCTCAGGCCGGGAGGATCCCCAAGCAGCTACTAGACCTCCCCAGGTTGGAGCCCTAGAATCCTGTATGCTCTAAGGGATTTGGAACCCCAGTAGAAATTATAATTTCAGCTAAATATTAGGATTATTGGTAACAGAAATTAGAAATTATTATCAGGAACCTTGTAGTATGCTCTTGTGCGTATAACAAGACGATCGAAAACTACACCCATGGGGTAGAGAAATCAGACCCTTGTTGGGATCCTCCATGGACCTGCGGGCTCGTGGCTTGGCTATCAACTACTAAGGTTGAGGCCTTTTTCAAGCTTTCCGTGCTTCTGTACATTCATGATAGAAATGATAGTATATTGGGGTTGTGTTGGGGTTATATAGGGGCTACATAGGGATACTGGAAAGGAAAATGGAAACGATCCTTTAGGGTTTAGAGTTTAGGGTTTACAGTTTACAGTGTGCTCATTTTTTGCGCTTCAAGGTGGGTCGGGGTGGGGGGGGGTGAGCTTAGGACTGGATCTCAGGCTTCAGATTTAACAAGATAAACCTCTGGGTCTCTGAGGTGAAGGTCAGGGAACTCGAAAATAACTCTAGGGCCAGACCCTGTATGCCCACACAGCTCCATATTTGAGACAGGTTGCCGAAGTTTACTGGAAATGATTGCGCCATGACATGAAAAAATGACGATCATCCCTATTGCTACGTGTCGGTCGACCCGATTGTGGCCCTATTTGTGGCCATCCATGCTCGAGTGTGCGATCTCTCTCTCATTTCGAAATCAAACTAGGATCTGGGTGGTTCGCTCTTTTTCAAATGCTTTGGGCTGGGGTGTTTGGCTTAAGGGGCGCTATGGGGTGGGAGAGCTCAGCTAGCGGGGCCAAAACATGGCCACCATTCAGAAAAAATCCATAAGCTTTGTCCGTGTCGTCGTCAGCCCTCGCCCACTGCCATCTCCGGCAGCAGACTTGGGCATTCTCAGCGCCGCCATGCGCCGCTGTCCGTAGAGAGACTACTGAGGCCTGTACGTCGTCATCCCTTGGCCCTCATCGACCGCCACTAGGTTCGAATGACTACAACTTGTAAGCCTTCGCCCACCACCACCGTGGGATGGCGGACTCAGACTTCCCCCTGTGTTCCCCGATGTCACCTGTGCACATACAGCATGGCAAGTTCATGGCTGCTCTTGTGTGGGCCGGCCGCCGGCTCTACCCCTGCTGCCCCCCCAAAAGAACAACAGTACGGATCGGGAGCTCATAAATGTACAGCAAAACTGATTTAAATCTATGCACCTTCAGTTCCATTTTACATGCACAAGCGGGTACGGATGTCCCTACCGCGATCCGGCGTTCGTCCTCATTGCAACCTGACGGTCGTCTGGTAAAATTCTGGAGCCCAGCCCCTTCCTGATGAGAGAGGAACAGTAGATAAACTTGCGGTCTGCGATGAGGACCCGCTCACATGGGCGCGAGGAGTGGGGGTGGATGGGGGGTGGTCGGATGTGAGTACCGATTCGGCCCAGGAGAAGTAGGTGCTGGCGATTCAAACCCTAGACAGCTGAGTCACTGGCTCTTTCGCCGGCTCGCAGCAGACTCAAGCTCTTTCGTCAGTTCTCATCAATGCTCGCCTATCAGCTCTTCGGCAGTGGACTCAGACTCTGTCGTCTGTCGTCGTCAGCTCTCCGGTGGCAGACTCAGACTTTCCCCAGCTAACCATCCATGATCGAAGGTGACGGATACCCTTTCCTAGACACTCTCCTCTCTGGTGGAATCGATACGGGAAGAACGTCGCACTCAGAGTATCAGCCTCCAGTAAATTTTCCAGGGGGGTCCTTACAGTCTGCAGATAGACCCATGGAGTTTCATCTGGGCAAATGTCCCACACTGCAGGACCTTGTCATACCTGAGCTCTAGCAGAACTCTCAGTCATAGCAACGTACTCTTGACACAGCACAGAAGGCTTTGCAAGGTGAAACATTATTCTACCAGGATGGATATCATCTCCATCCCAGCTGGACCCCGACAAATATCTAACTTAAGGATGCCATTCGCACTGGCCATGAATAAGCTTGAATAAGCATCGTCATGGGTCCAAGCATAGCTTCGTATACTAATTAATACTAGGTTCAGTAGCGAACCTATCTCAAGCCTGCAGTCGAAAGCTGCCATGTCCTCTCAACGTACGAACACCTGCGCACCAGAACGATCTGTTTGTGAAGCCGTTCATCAGGTTGACACAACAGTTCAACATTTGTTCCTTGAGACAGGCATCGTGAAAAGATGTGTGTGAATCTACATTTCCGCACGATGAGGTTGCTGATTTGCAGAGATACGGAAGCTAGGTGGAGCTTTGCTGAATTTATCACCGCCTCATATACCCCTCACCATGTTTTCATGCAATGCCGAAACCACGGACTTGTGCAACAGGGACCCGCAAGTTTAGAACCACCCCTCTCCCCCCTAGTCACTAAAGTTTCTTCTGGTTGTCTACCTGCCTGCCACTCCATGCATCCCTTCAACAAGTGCTAGCCGCCTTGAAGTTTCGTCCTGAAGGCTGGGATACCCTCTAAACTATTATAAACCCCATAGATCCTAAACCCTAAACCCTATAAACCCTAAACACCTATTAACCCTATTAGCCCTAAACTCAAGTCAATCTGAGCATCTGAAGGTTGGAGTCGCCCAAAACGCACCCAACAGCATTATCGATAGAGACCACCGTCTAAACAAATGTCATCTTGAGAAGCTCGAATAATCAGTGCACTAACCGGTGGAGAATCAAGACCAGGACCCTCCCTGTACCCTTGAAACATATAGATATATATACATATATATGTATAGAGGGTAGATGGAGGGTCTAGGGAAACAAATGGAACATCAATTGGAAACTTGGTTTGCGTATGGGGCTGTATTGTGGCCGAATCCTGAGCCGGAAGCAGAAGCCTCGTATCAAATCGGCACACGAAGTGACAGGCCGCGTTTCGGCTCTCTGGCAACGACGCCCTCACATGTTGAACGATTCCCAAGTGGTCTGTGGGTAGAACAATACACTGTAGGAGGATGTCAGTTCTAAAGGGATGCCCAGCGATGTAAGACAGGGACAACAGCCTGCTATAGGGAAAGTGTGTGTGCTCATATATATATATATCTATCTATATATGTAAGCAGCTTATATGCACAAAAAGATAGAGATCAATATATCAAAACAGATATAGAAGCAGAGAACACATTTGCTCCTGAGCAGTCCCTACCAAGCACCGGGGCTGAGTCCACTAAAGGCCCTGTTACTCAGACTGACGAGAGCAGCTCTGTGTTGCTCTTCACAAACCTTGGGGCTATCCACCTCCGGCCGTCGCTGGTCTAGAACATGGACGGGCCGCACCACTGGCCAGGTGATCGTGGTGGTTCCTGCGCTACAGTGCAACAGCAGCTAACAATTGCTTCTCACAAGGTTCCGATGAGCTGCCCAGCAAGGGTTCAGCGAGCAACTGCAAATGACCCCTGTGTTCTTGCAAATGTGACAGGAAAGCAGCCTGGAACTTGCGCAGTCCAGTGCAAGTCCCCGCCTGTGGCCGCCTTGGCGTCCTTGCCTATAGCCTGCGGGCAGACAAACTGACTACATAGGCAAAATTGAGACGTAGCGACACTGGGGCCACTGAGGACTTTGCCGGCTGCCAGACACCAGACAACCCTTCTGAGGCCAAGACATCAGGGAACCCGAGGTGATAAGGTTGGCGCCTTTCTGTTCAGCAATGCTTGACCTAGAAAACCCCAAGCTTGGAGTTGGGGCGCCTCTCTCGGTCTCCAGCCAGGACCATGAACTCATGATCCGCCTAGTAACAAAAGCGGGCAATACGCACGGTCACAGTTGAGAGTGAGCTGTTGAACACCCAGCCTCACCCTTGTGCGGAACGTAGTACAGTTGTATTTGCAGAGGCTCGCGGCACTCCGAGCAAACCTACAGCCAATCTTGTGTGTACTGGAGAACATGCGTCTTCTTGGGGCAGCATTTGGTTGAGGTGACACTGGCAGGCATGTCCATGGGCTGAGATCTGGGCTGCGGAAACTGACGCGCCCATTCCTTACTAACCAGGCGTTGCTGACCCAACGCGTGGGTGGAGTTCAGTGGAAGATTGGCACTTTCAGCCTCTTGGTTCAACAGGTCCAACACATCCACTTGAGATCCGGTGAGTGAAGATGTCGGAGGCTGCCGAGCTTCAGCAGACACTTTGGCCCTGCTCCAGGCACATGAGCGCCGCAGCTGTCAGACGTGCAAAGGGGACAAGCCTTGCTTAGCCTTGAAGTCTTGTGGCTAGGGTAACTCCCAGCTTTCGTCTTCTTTGTGTTGGCAAAGGTTGTTTGCTGAATTGAAAGGCCATTGAACTCATGTCCAGGACTTGTGTGCGGCAATGAGTTGCGTGATGAGGGTGCTCACGCAATGAGGATACAGCTCCATCTTTCAAGTAAGCTGCAAGTGTTTGCTTCTGAGCCATGGCTTTCTTGAGACCTTGAGCAAGACGTCGCTCTTAGGGCACAGCTCGAGAACAATTTGCTCTCCGGCAAACTGCCGGATGAATCCCGACAATCGCTGCGCATGCACTGTCAGGTTCATGTTCGGACTGGACCAGAGGGCATGGTCGATGCAATGGCATACTTGGCAAAGTGCAGGTGGTGCACACATTCTGGAGATGAAAGAGCAACGGACGCGCAACCTAAAGCTCATCGAGTATGATGACTTTTCGGGAATCCTACAAGCTGTATGCCTATCGAACTCCCCAACTGCTGAACAGGCTTCCTAATGCTCAGGGCAACTGCCAGGCCTTCTGCACGCCTGCGCAGAGGGTCGAGCCAACACAAACGGGTCAACGTTCTAGCTTTGATGGTAACGGTTCAGCAAGACGTGGAGCCTTGTCGTTCCGCTTGCTACTACCCGGTTCTGTCTGCTGGAATCCAGTGGCCCATGCCCAATCTGTTCTACCTTTGCAGTATACTTCTTTCAATGCTAACTCTGGTTTCAAGGCCACAAATGATTGAAGCGACAACTGCATGGTGGCCATTGAAATATGTTCTGCAGAGATTGACACATTTGCTCAGGTCTGAAAGCCTTTCCAGGGATCTCCGCGAGGCATATGTGGTTTGGTCCGCGAGAGAAGCCCCTTGAAGTGTAGCTCTGTCAGGATACAGAAGCAAGGTCTCACTGCTGCACACCAAGGGCTGCGTCAGGGAAATTGCAACAAATCCTTGCCCAGCAGCCCTGGGACTGAAGATCTTCAACCTCCTGAAGCTGAAGCAAAAACCCCACACTAAACCCTAATCCCTAAACACGAAACACATAACCCCAAACCCTAAACCCCAAACCCTAACCCCAGAACCTAAACCCCAAACCCCAAACCCCAGAACCTAAACCCCGGACCCTAAACCCCAAACCCTAACCCCAGAGCCCTAAACCCCAAACCCTAAACCCTAACCCCAGAACCTAAACCCCATGCACACCCTAAACCCCAACCCTAAACCCCTAAGCCATTCCATGGCAGGCCTTCAGGGTCCTCAAAGGATGCAAAGCCTCGTGAGTTCGTGAGCGCCTTATGCCGGGTGTAGAGGTCCACCTGCAACAGAGGGGTGGGGGTTTAGGGTATAGGAATTAGGGTTTGGGGTT